GCGCAGCCGCCTCCGGCCCGCCCCGCGCCCGACGGCGCCCCGGGCGCCCCCTCTGTCAGGGCGCCCCAGAGCCGCCCGAGCGCGCCGAGCTGGTGCGGCGGCCATGCGCGCCCCGCGCGTCCCCGGCCCGATCTCTGGCTGAGCGGGGCGCGCCGGGAGAGGGGTCGCCTGGACGGGCCGGGCCGGCCGGGGCCCGCGCTCCGCCGCCCGCGTCCATGCAGCCGGGCTCCGGCTCAGGCCGCAGGACTAGTGGCCGTCGCCTGCGCAGCTCGCCGGATCTGCAGCGCCCGCGAGGTGAGTGCGCGCTTCGGGCTCCGGAGAGGAATTCGCGACTTCGGAGGGCCGGGGGCGGAAGAGCAACCGCCCCCTAGAGGAGCGGGACGCGGGAGGGGCCCCGCGCCTTCTGCCCACCTCCTCTCCCGGGCGCCGAGCGTCCGGAGACTGCGGCCCCCTGGGGGCGCACGTGGCGGCCCCCTGGGGGCGCACGTGGCGGGGACGCAGCCCGACTGAGGGTCCTGGGCCCCTGGGCCCCGGCCAGGGCACCGGGGGCGGCGGTGGGGGCGGGGCCGGCCGTCGTGGGGGGCGCGCGCCTTTGTCTGCGCCCCGTGCGGAATCGGCCGCCCGGTTCCCGGCGCCGCGCTCACCTGCCCGGAGTTGGAGTTCTTTGTCTGGGGCGGGGCGCGGCTGGCTGAGGCTGCGCCGCGTGTCTGGGCCGAGGCTGCCCCGCGGGTCGGGCCCTCGCAGACAAAGCGCGCCGCGACCTCCGCCCGCGGCCAGGCTTGTGCGCTTCGGGGGATCCGTGCTGGGGCTGACACGCTCCCTGCCGGGCACGCCCCTCGGCCGGACCGAGCCTGGGCCCGGGGACCTCCCACCTGTACTTGGCCGGGAGCGACCTCCTTCCTCCCGCCCCCACTCTGGCTCAGCGCCAGGATTGGAGGCGGCTGTGGCTGCGCGCGCTTGGGTCACCTCCGGGTAGCTAATGCGCGGGAAGTTGTCAGCGCGGGTCTAGGGGCCCCTCTGGGGCCGCCCACCCCCTCGGGTCAGCAGGCCAGTCTGGAAGCCTCGCAGAAGGGGAGCTCAGGGCCCTCGAGCGGGCATGGGTCCCAGAAGGCTGTCTCTGTGCGTCTCGAGGAAGGGGCTGGAACCTGGGCCACAGCCCCCCAAAAGTCCCAGGTCTGCTCGCAGCCTTCCTGGGTGGGCGTGGCCATACCTGGCCAGGTGTCCTGGCTCTTCCTGTGAGGCGGAAGCCGGCCAGCTGTGCGCCTAGGACCTGTGTGGCTACTAGGATCCCTGGGTCGCCCACCCCCAAGTTCCTGAGCAGACTCCCCTGCGGAGAGGGGGTGTGCGCATCATGGCCCTGGGAGCACCAGTGCGGGGAGGGTGCGCCCCTGTCCCGAAGCCCCCCGCCCTCCCCACCCCCACTGGGCCGGTACCTGGGGCGCCCCCTCGTGGCCCTGGAGCTGGTGCTCCAGCCAGGGGTGTTGCTCTGAACCCGGGTGGGGTGTGGAGGTTGGAGCCCGCGGTTTCCCTGGGCCCGGCCCCCGCAGGAGCAGACCTTCCTGAGACGGCGCCTCTCCTCAGTGCTCTGCGGGGTGTGCAGCGTGGTCATGCCGCAGCCACGTTAGCAGAGCTGGTGTCCAGCCAGGGTGGGGTGAAGCCCGCGCCACACTGTCCTACAGGAGATGTGCCACCGGGCACCTGAGTGCTTCCCCTCGCCCTCTGACCTGCTGTGGGTTGCCTCCAAGGCCAGGCCTGCGCCTCTCGGCCTTCGGGCTGGCTGTGGAATCGCAGGGCAGGCAGCTTCGCCTTTCTGTGCTCACCGGAGACTCCAACACCTGCCTTCAGGTTTTGTTTTTCAGAGATGGGGTCTCGCTCTGTCGCCCAGGCTGGAGTGCAGTGGCCTCATCACAGCTCACTGCAGCCTCCAACGCCTGGGCTCAGGCAGTCCTCCCGCCTCAGCCTCCCAAGTGCTGGGATCACAGGCGCCAGCACCGCGCCATGCCGGTTTTTTATCTTTTTTTTTTTTTTGAGACAGAGTCTCACTCTTTTGCCCGGGCTAGAGGGCCATGGTGTCAGCCTAGCTCACAGCACCCTCAAACTCTCAAACTCCTGGGCTTAAGCGATCCTCCTGCCTCAGCCTCCTGAGTAGTTGCGACTACAGGTGCTCGCCACCACGCCCAGCTAATTTTTTGTTTCTGTTTTTAGTTGCCTGGCTAATTTTTCTATTTTTAGCAGAGACAGGGTCTTGCTCTAGCTCAGGCTGGTCTCCAACTCCTGGCCTCAAGTTATCCTCCCGCCTCAGCCTCCCAGAGTGCCAGGATTATAGGCGTGAGCCACTGTGCCCAGCCTGGAGTTTCTTTTTGGGGTGATAAAAATGTTCTAGAACTAAATAGTGGTGACGACTGCCTAACATTGTGAATGTACTAATGGCCACAGAATTGTATAGTTTTAAATGGTTTCAGTGGTAAATAAAATGGTAAATTTTATGTTATGTGTATTTTACAATTAAAAAAGG